TTTTGGTTACTCTTTCAAACAGTTTTTCATCCGGAAGAGACAACCACTGGGGTCTGGGTCAGTACTTCACACTTGCTTACAATACCTTGGACATCGGATGTGACGGCTGTGACGGCTGTAACGGATGTAACGGCTTTGACGGCTGTAACGGATGTAACGGATTTGACGGCTGTAACGGATGTAACGGATTTGACAGATGTAACGGATTTGACAGATGTGACGGATGTTGAAACCACAGAATCCCCAATTTATCGTATTCCTGTTCTGGAAGATTCCCCACACTCAATAAAAGGTGAGCCTTGCTCAGTAAGAATGAAAATGTGATATAAAAGAAAAGTAGGTTACAAGACGCCAGGCTATATGGCAATAAACTAAAAATTCATACTCACTATGGATACATACTGTGTATATATATTATGGAGTAGTATAGTATGGATACACATAAAGAAGATACATGCTTAAACTAGAAGAAGATACCTTAAAAATCAGACACCATTATCTATGTAAGGTTAAAATTTAATTACAGCTTGACCTGGTTGAATATACTCCAAGACGATATGTCTCTCATCCAAGAGGCTTCTTCAGTTCTGACTGACTGGCAGGGAGTCCCAGCTTTATAGTCTCTGTGAGGTCGTTATCAAGGTGCCACTTGGTTCTTTAGTGGTCCTGGCTGTAACGACATAGGATTGTAAAGTCATTATGGGTGTATGAGTCATGTGAGGCCAAGTCTGTACGGCCGTTGTTGGCATTGTCACATGAGGCCAAATGTGAGCGCTATTTCCCTCTCCTGGGAAGAGATGAAAGGACAGAATTGTAAGTGGGGGATAAGTGGTGTCTCAGTCCTGCTCCCCTGTTGAGCGATGGTTTCTCTAATCTGGTGTAAATAGCCTTTTTCCCCTCCTCTTTCAAACCATCTGTCCTCCATGTCCAAAATATGTCCATTGTTGTAATTGAAAGAGTATCTTTTATCCTTAAAATGTAGGTAAACTGCTGAGTCTTGACCTGAGGCCCTTCTGTGTTAGGCCATACGTTTGTGTAGGCTGTTGTTAAGTTTCCCTACAGGTCTGTGCTTTTCACACTGTTGTGGACAGCAGACACTAGATTGCTGTGTTTTGGGTGGAAGAGAATCACAACAACATCTTGCTTCCATTTGTGTCTGGATTTTCAGAGAAACTCGAGAGGAATTTCAACAAAAAAATCGAAACCCTGTGTTTTTTAAACCCAAGAAAGCGCTGCCAAATCTGGCCAATCAAATGCTCTGACACAAAAATGAAAAAAACACGGTCTCTGTGGCTGTCACCTTACTGTAATAAGCATGGGCTACCACGTCATTCGGTCTGGATGTGTTTTCTGTGTTTGCAGCACGTCTCAACCTCACACCTCAATTTAATGATGTTTTTATACTAACAGAGTCACAGCCAATGGAAGGCTCTGAGGAGTCAATGACATCATTTCTAGATGAAGGTGAGCAGCTCTATACTTTTTTCAAACACTTTACCTACCTCCTGTGTGTGTTCGTTGATCTGTTATTAGTGTATAATCAGCAAAAATATTTTACTTTTCAGGGCTGGGAATCCTCTTTACATAACCACCAAATTCTGGGTTTCTTTTCTTTGAAACTTTGAGAGGTTTACACTGACGAAAGTTTCAAGTGTGACCAAGATGCTGTTTAGATGTTTACCATATTCAAATTGTTGTGGGCTTTAAAGGTACTATGTCAAGGTCCTAACATGTCCACAAATTTGCACTTCTAATTAACAAACAAATTATCAAAACACAATATTTCATCGTGATTACATGTTATTACCATGCATAAATGCAACATTGGTTCAATACAGATGTCATGCGCCCCAATTTCGGCCCCATTTCTGTAATAAGAGTTTAAAGACAGATAAAAATAGAAGCTAACTTTATTTCCTTTTTAAAGTGCAACGTGTATACTGTGAATTTTAGCTATAATGTGTGCTCTCCACTCTTTCTACCCTCCCTCCCTCCCTCACCCATCCTTTAAGGCACCCCAGAGACATCATCTGAGTCTCTCCAGTGGGACACAATCCCATGGATTCGGATTGGCCTCATTGCCGGAGTATTGCTGGTCACAGTAGTGGTCCTGTGCATTCTGGGAGCTCTACGGAAAATTTAAAATACAAAGCACGATAAATGGATTCCCACTTCTGCCATTCAGTTGACCCACGTTGTACTACGTAAAGGATTTGAGTCGGCTTCTGAGCTGGGTACAAGGAAGAGCCTCCTTGTTTGAAGAAAAGGGTTACTGTGGTTGGGCTCACCACAGATGAGCTGGGGTTGGAACTTGACTGAATGTGGATAAAGTACAAGCTTTTACCAAGAACATTTTGCAGCTTGATATTTGGTTAATAGATTTCTACAAAGACTCAAATTCTGTAAATAACCTTCAGTATAAAGAAACACTACCTGTAGGCAAGCCATATGTCAGTCCTTGAGTGTGTTTGTTAGTGTGAAAATATATTTATGATGACGTTGGCGGAAGGACCAAGTCCAGAAGAACTCCACGTTGATGTACTGTATCATGGTTTACACTTTTAAATGGCTGCTGAATAGGAATTACCTGTACGACAATAATGTGTGTGTTAAATTCAGTATAATGTACATTATTATTGTAATCATTCAAAGTTTTCGTAATTTTTGTCATTATAAAACAGGGTTGCACAATGAATTGCAGCTGTAGCCCCCATTAACAAATATAAACACGGTCAATTATAGTCACAGTAAAATAAATCCGCTATAATCAGAAATACTGTTGTCACGCATTGTTTAATGAATTGTGTGAAAGAGTCTGTGTTGCATTAACAGCCAAAAGCAGCAACAACATAGATCAGAAAACATGAAAACCTCATTAAAATATGGTCAGTTGTACTTATATAATCTAATTGAAATGACAGCCTGTCCTTAAATATAACTTGGATCAATAAAATGCTTGGTTCTTCAGCTAAGGTGATAAAAGAATTTCCGGCATTTATTGGATTGTGCAATCAGACAAAATGTGTCACATTTTCTTATACTTTTTTCCTTGCCATGGATACACTTTACTGCTGTATATTGTTGCCCAATTAGTATAGGATTGTTGCATGTATGTGACAGATTTCAACATGACTTCACTGCTGAAACATTGGTTCATGTTTGCTTGATCTGACTGCGTGCCTTTAGGATCCGTGGGTAGAAGACAGGAGCCGATCTGTCTCTGGTTTGGAATGAGGAACAGGTGCATACAGCATAGAATGAAATTCAATATAGAAACGACTCAGCCAAACTGTGCTGTATAAGGCATATCAGCCATAAACCCTCCGCACCAAATCAGTTCTCAGTTACCTCTCAATGCTGCTTAATTTTGCTTATCTGACGCTCACTGTTGTTGGGGATTAACATAGGCGCAGGTTTGGGTATTAACCACCTGAATATCAAACAGGATCTAGAGGTACTGAAAAGTTATTAATCTTTAATTAGGATTAATATGTAAGGAGCACCACCTTGGGATCAGGGACCAATAATCAAACCTCCAAACTGTCTCAAAAAGGGGCGTTTAATTCTAAACTATTAATAATGAAGCGTCATTAACTGATAATAGACTGACAGTGAAGGATGAGTTCGTACACTGGCTGTCTCAGCAACTGTTATCATAATGCCACACAATAACCGCAAACAATGACTTCTTAAATTCATTTAAACACTATTATCTACTCTAAAACCACCAGTTCCAAAAGGGCAGAGGCCAGCTGGTCACTCACAAGTAGCCTACTTGTGGGTCATAGGTCAGGCTGCTCCTCTATTTTAGAGTATCAATGTCTCTGAGTGTCTGGCTGTGGATTTGAAAAGACAAATTCATTCAAAGCACAAAAAACTATCTGGTGAGAAGCATCAATAAAATGCCATGATGAAACAGCAAAGTAACTATCGGAGGTACTAGTGCTCGATGTTATGTGAGTTACCATAAGGATTACATCTTAATAGTAACTACAAAGTTACTAATGTTTTAGTGTAAAATGGCCTGTGAATGTTTCCCTGTTGAGCTGCAGTGCAGGAACAATAAAAACAAGAGGAAATTTAGAAGGGCAAAAACACAAAAGAGGCTGTACAATTGTTTTAAGACAGACTTGAAAATGGGTGAACCCATTCTTTAACAAGTTGGTGTTCTTTGCTGGTTTTTCATCCTTCTAACACTTTCCTATTCTTGTGTTTGTTCTGGAATAAAGTTGAAAACTAATAAATAAATAGCACAGCCAATGTGCATTTAAAAATGTAAAGCTGGTGGCTTTTCCTTCCTCTAATTTAATTTTCTTATAACATTATTATGCGTTGATGTTTTCTCTGTTTTCTTGCAGTGATGCTAGTATCCAGCAGAGGGAGTCTTGTTATTTATAAATGAACTGACCTTCCAGCATGATGTGTGAGACAAAGTATAAAGTTTATACATCATGGACTTGTTCTAAATGAAATGGTTGTCTAGCTGTGTGTTTCAGCAGTAGCAGCTGTGCATGTACTAGAATCAGTCAAACAGACTTTTCACAACCTGTAAACGCATTTTTTTTTATTATAAATGATGTAAAGGCTCAGCAAATGTTTTTACAAACCATTAATATCAATCAAATCAAAGCTTTTTATTAAGGGCATGAGGACACACACCCTGTCCAAAGAACATGCAATAAAAACAGAAAAACAGACGCAAGTTATACAATGCCAATATCCCACCAGAATTCTTACCCAGTCCCACCAGTATACATATCTCTTCTGTTAACTAAAAGCGAAATTGTAAGTAAGATACATGACTTGAATCAATTCCAAAGGAATGTGAAATTCTTGAAATGTGAGCTGCTGTGAAGTGCTTATAGCAAAGCCGTGCATGGATTTCTCAGTTTCTTCCAACGTTAACTTCTGTTCCCTACTTTCCTTCTGTCTTCCCCTATAATCCATCCTCCGTCTCTCCTCCCCTTTTACCCCCCTTCACCCGCTCCCCTCTGCTCTCTACTGTTCTTACTTCCCAAAGAGCAGCTTCAGAATGAAGAATGGAGGAGAGGAGTGAGGAATCATTGACGTTCTCTGTCAGGGTCTTTGCTCTGCAGGAGGAGGTGAGGGCCGAGGAGGAGAACATGGAGACACGTGAGGAGGTAACAGTGGAGGCTGCAGAGGGCGCACTTTTATATACTGCTTATATTTTCCTATCTGCTGGGTTGTGACTTTATAAGACGCATTTTATGTAAATAAACCTGGCGTAAGTTCTGAGTTTAAACTAATCAAACTCTGCTGCTATGCTGTTCTGCGGCAGCTCCAAAACTAGTCTGTTCTGGTTTAATGCAAATGGATCTGAAAGGCACATAAAATGCACAAAATGCAAAAAGATAACATGACCATGCTGAGCCAAAGGCTGCATATATATATATATATATATATATATATATATATATATATATATATATATATTTACACTCACCGGCCCTTTATTGGGTACACCTCTTCAGTTGCTTCTTAACACACATAGCTAATCAGCCAATCACATGGCAGCAACTCAATGCATTTTGGCATGTAGATGTGGTCAAGACAATTTGCTGAAGTTCAAACCGAGCATCAGAATAGGGAAGAAATGGGATTTAAGTGACTTTGAACGTGGCATGGTTGTTGGGGCCAGACAGGCTGGTTTGAGTATTTCAGAAACTGCTGATCTACTGGGATTTTCACACCCAACCATCTCTAGGGTTTACAGAGAATGGTCCGAAAAAGAGAAAATATCCAGTGAGCGGCTGTTGTGTGGACGAAAACACCTTGTTGATGTCAGGGGAGAATGGGCAGACTGGTTTGAGATGACAGAAAGGCAACAGTAACTCTAATAACCACTCGTTACAACCAAGGTATGCAGAATACCATCTCTGAACGAATTTGTCTTTGGGGCCCCTTAGTACCAACTGAGCATCGGTCAAATGCAACAGCCTACCTGAGTATTGTTGCTGACCATGTCCATCCCTTTATGACCACTGTTTACCCATCTTCTGATGGCTACTTCCTGCAAGATAATTGGTTTCTTCCAGTGTTGTGTAGTGCCAGGAGCACTAACAAACCAAGCTGGATCCATTTCCTTGAAAACGACCCCTCAGAGGTTAAATAGCTGGGACTTCCTGCCAGAAAAGAAGAAGCCTCTCTAATGAGAAACAAAAGTAAGTCCAGCTGACCTTGATTTTAACCCAATTTCAGTGGACAACTTCACCCACAGTGATAAAGTACATTTTTACATGTGACTTTGTTGCAGATATGCAATTATCTGCATAAACCTGATTCCGTCAGTCATCAAAGAAATCAGTTTTTTTGTGTGCATTATAGCCTATAAAACATTTGACAAACGGAGATGTTGGATTATATTCCTGGTTTACCTATTTTAAAGACTGTGAGTTTCCCTACATTTGTATTCACCCTCAAACCAAGTTTTTCTTTTCTTTTCGCAATGATGAGACTAAATTGCTGTTTCATTTTTAAATCATTATTTAGTCTGACATCATGTTCATTTAAACAGGAACATTGTTTGGAGCAGGGACATTAGCGATCTAAGAAATATTTTGTAGGAAGATGACAATCTTAATCCCTCCTATTTAGCTCTGATCAGATCAGTTGTTATTTCCGCCAGTGAAACTGCTTTCAATCACAACTCCAGACCTGTTTGAATCTCTGAAAATATCAGAGATGTCTGCCGCAAACCAGAGGCTTGGAACCAGGAGAGATCAGCCACAAGATTTGTTCTTTTAGCTAATACGTGCACATCTTGCAGTTTTACTACACTTAAATCCAGAGTTTTTACAGTAGTTCCCACAATCCTGTTTTACCACGTGCCTTTCAGTAAGTTTGTTTAAAACACAGAAAGTGGCAATGTGATGAAAAGACATGCTGCTGTTGGTAACATACGCCATCACTGTAACATAGAAGGTGCTCCTAATATGTCTTTTTGAAGCCGTGGTGTAGTGATAAGACATTATATACCTTGCTAAAGGTTATTCTAGTTTGTGCTACAGACATTCAAATGTCTGATGGTTGAGTTAGGTATTATTAATCAAGCTTCTTGCGTTGGGACAAATGGGACTAAAATTGGCCCAGCAAAGATGCAGGGTCATCCATACTTATTTTTATCCCAATGCAATGTCATCTGGCCTATCCAAACAGTTACCTGCAAGTGCACATCCCTGGTAGAAAGTTATGTAGTGCAAATAAATTCTGCTGTTTACTTTAAAATTGTTGAGACAGAGGAGGAAATGATTGGTCTGAGTATGGAGGAAGCTCCAGTGTGCTCCAGTTTAATTACATCCACTAGATTCTGGACCAAAGACCCGCCATCCATCCACTACTATACCTGCTTGTCTTTTGTAGACTTACACTATCACAGCCAACTGTCATACCTCAGGATTCCTCCTCTTTGCCAAATTTAGATTTTGGTAGACTGTGGGGTTAATATTAAAAGTAATTTAAACACGAAAGCTCATCATACTAGATCTGGTCCGGAGTAATTTGGTTGGGTCTGAAACGTTCTTGTGCTCTGTGACATAACCCAGTGTGTTGTGTTCTGAAGGAGGTGCAGGTCCAGGAAGGGATGAACAGGGAGGAGCAGGTCAGTGTTTGCAGACAGAGAGCAGAGCAGGAGCTCACACTGCTCCTCACCACAGGACTGGAGACTCAGCTGCTCACTGTGCAGGATGGTGAGCGCACACACACACACACACACACACACACACACGCTGAAACGTGCCACGCTCGCTAAGTTAGAGCAGTGGTACTCAAATATTTTCATGTCAAGGACCCCCAAACTGAAACAAATTAGACCATGGAAATGGCTTTTTATTACAAAAAATGTATGTAACCAATGACAAAATAATCACACAGTCTAGTTGTAAAGTCGTTGCGTTACTTATGGTAATTACTTATAGTGAAAATAAATGATTCCCCTTTTTTGCTTGGGACCCCCTCGAACCCTCTAAAGGACTCCTGGGAGTCCCCGGACCCCACTTTGAAAGCCACTGATTTATTGATTCCAGGAAGAGGCTGTAGTAGTGGAAAAAGTGTGTGCCAAAAGTTCAGTGTTGAGATAGGACCCAACCAGAAATGGAAAGTTAGTCATGACACCTCATCATTAATAAAATCAGATATCCATAACATACATTTCACTGTTGTGTGTTGAAGATCATAGCTCATCAGCGATGGAAGTTTTTGTGCATTGAGTACTTTTAATACTTTAAGTACACTTTTTGCTGGTTATACTTACATAATTATACTTAAGTAACATTTTCCATTGTACTTTTACAGTGTTGTATTAGTACTTTTACTTCTGGATCTGAATACTTCGTCCACCACTGATAAAATGTAAATGTGTTCTCAGCCAACAGAGCATCAGTCTTCCAGTTTACTGTTTCCAAGGAGATGGACTGCTGCCAGGTCGGACGGCAGTCCTTCCTGGTCTCCTTTGGCAAGTTGAGTTTTCTGCTGCAGTTCAGAACTCCTGCTGGTTTGTACAGTATATTCTTAAATTCATACTGCTTATCCAAATGGGTTTGGTTGTATGTCATGAACTCGGGAAACATATTCTCTTTGAATCTGCAGATCTGAAGAACTTCCAGCAGTTACTGAAGAGAGGGGATGATGAAGAGACTAAGAAAGGTTGCACAGAAAGAGATGAGAGGGAAAACAGAGATTCAGAGAGAGGCAAAACACCTTCTAGGAGACATCCCCCTATGTTTGAATCAAGAACTGAAAATGCCCCTACCCTGGGTACCTACCAGGTAAGCCACTTGTTCACTCTGACTTCACAGGTGCTGGGGATAAATAAATCGGTTTGAACAAGAATTTAAAATACATGTTGTTCATTGCTGGATTTGTGTTTAGTTCCACAGCTGTCTGTCCCAGCAGCAGTCTCTGCTTCAAGACTACCTGAGGATCACCACCTACCAGAGAGCCATTTTAAACAATGAGACCGACTTCAGAGACAAGGTGCTCATGAGCTCCTAAAGACTGTTGTTGGAGACACTGGCTTTATCCTGTTTATATTATAAAATGCTCCTCCACTAAGTATGTAAATTCCATCCATGTATAAATGATATAGCCCACAGGTTTCCTTATCCCTGTTAAAAACAGATGTATACAGTCAGGTACATAGTGTAGTAGTCAAGTACAGTTATTAATTTTTATTGAAATGTATTCAAACAAGCCAGTAATATACAGTTAAAGGATTATTCCAATATGTTAGGCCTCTTCATTAGTTATGATAACATGTACTCAAAGTAATTGCTATGTGATTTTTTCCAAAGCTACTCACATCTTCCTTAAACACATTGGGAGTAATTTAGCTTTCAGTTTGCTGAAAGGTAGTTCAAACCTCCAAGCCTACAATTAGTACACCTGAACAACAGCTGCCTGCCATATCTCCTAAAAGAAGTCTGGTGGATCAAGAAGCACAGTCAGTCTAACAATGAAACAGGCTGTAAAACAGGTTAATCAAAGTTATTTGGAAAAAAAAATAAACACAAACACAAAGTTTTGTTAGCCAAAAGAAAATAAATGATGGGAGTCTTCACAGTGGCCTAGTGGTCCACAGCTCGCAACAGCGACGTCCCCACTTTAAATACATCAGGTCATCCCATCATCTTACATCACATTTCCTCTATTAAATAAAATGCAAAGACAAGACAAAAAGGTGTTTCACAGCATAACACATTTTCTTCTCTTTTTTTGTCTCTGTAGGTGGTTCTGGATATATGTTGTGGTTCTGGTATTCTGTCCTTCTTTGCAGTCCAGGCAGGAGCCACCAGAGTGTATGCTGTTGAGGCCAGCCCCATGGCCAAGTTTACACAGGTCAGTAGATTTGAAGCCTTCATCTTCCATTTCTGTCATTATACTGTCAGCCTTAAAATAGTCTAGGTATCTGATATACACAGGTTTTAAAAGCGCAGAAATGAAAGCATTGTTTGAGTAAATGTAACTAACCTACAAGCAATTTATGAAAACTCCAAACTGTGAGCTCACATGCAGATTTCTGAGAGTTATGTTAGTGTGTGTGTGTGTGTGTTGGCATTGATAGAGCCTAAAAAGAAACCACAGCAATGCACTAAATAGCACACACAAACATAGAGTACATACATCACATGCAGAGCGTGGCATTCTGGGGAGTTAATGGGTTGCGGCAACATCTGGCCCATTCAGTAGGATAGGGGTTGCAGAGAGATGCTGATGCACACAGTACTGGGCTTAGACGGATATATGGGGATTATGTCTGCCTTTTATTAAATAGTGGACATTAGCTTGGTGTCAGATTTAACTGCTCCACACCATATCCAAATAAATGGCATATTACAAAGGGATTTTGATGCTTCTAGTTATATATTTCCAGATTTTGGGAGGTCTCTTTCCAAAAACAATGTCCCTGTCATTCTGGATAATCCACAGAACACAGTGTCCACAGTTCTTACTGGAAATTCATTTTGAAGAAACGGTCCCTATAAAATCTGCAGACAATGTGTGTCCTGTGGATTGTCCAGAGGAACCACAACATTGTTTCTGGAAAGACATTTGATGTTGAATTAAATTATTCAATGTTGTTGACACCACAAACCAAATCCCATTTGCATCCATTGTATTTGGGTAGAGGCAGAAATCTCAAATTCCCAGACAAAGCTGTTGCACAGTTCTCTCTCTCTGCAAAGAGAGCGAACAGAAGAAAGATCTAAAACAACTCAATTTTGGTGTGACCACCCTTTGCCAAATAATGATTTGATTTACATTTTCTTCTGTTCACTCACTTTGCATTTTGTTAATTGATAAATATAATCTATTAACATGTCTATTTTTGAAAGCATTCTTACGTTACAGAGTTTTCCCACACCTGCCTAAAACCTTTGCACAGTAATGTATATTAGGCATTCAGGGCTCTAGCAGATCAACATGACCACTTGGTATCATTATGGTTTTGTCTTTCTATTGAAGAAGCAGAAGTAGGGCTTTCTGTTCATCTCTCTGAAACTTTTTGACCACACCTATTTAAAAACATGGACATACAGAAATACACTTATGGATTGGGTGATGTTGAAGTGGTGTTAAAGTTGGAGCTCATAGTTAGTAGGGGAGACGGGGGATGGTTGTAACACATCCAAAAAAAATGATGGTTTTGACACAGCCTGTATCAATCAATTTTAGATGTTTTAGCAACTTTGGCACTGTGCTTTGTTCTCAAGTGCAATGACAATGTGCTGCTGCTGCCACTTTCATTCCCACCTCTGATTGGTTTTTCTCCACAGCTCCTTGGAATTTTAGTTTGAGTCACCCCGTCATGCCAAAATAATGGACAAAACGTGATTTGTTGAAGAAGTTGAAACCATTCAAATTGGTGACCACAATACAAAGCTACAGTTTGTTAGATTATCTGGGAGACTCTCATGTTTCTATGTTAAGTAACATTGAGGATTAACGGAAACATAAAATTGAATTGGGAAAAAGCACTTCTGGAACCAGTGACTCCTCCACTTTGCAACTGCACCAGTAGAAGAATTAGTAGTGAATCTTCCTAAAATAACATCTTTCACTCATCTCAAACATAGTTTGTACAGTTTTATTCTAAATGGGCTCTTATTCAGATAATTTGTGTAATTGAAGTCGTACGTGTGATGCTTTAAAGTAACTGAATTACTCTGGGTTTCAGTGGTAAGCTTTAGGATGCGTTAATGTATACTGTAGTTGAGAGATCTACCTTTCTTCTTCAAAATAATGAGACATTTTCAGCCTTCACTAGACTCTAGTCCAATGTATGTATGTGGAGGAAATCGACAATCTTTAGTAGTTATGTGGTTTTTATAGTGTGTTTTAATGCAGTACATGTTCACTGTCTCCTGTGCAGATCCTGGTCCAGAGTAATTGTCTGTCTGAGCGGATCAGGGTCCTAGAAGGGGAGGTGGAGGAGGTCAGCTGTCCTGATATGGTGGATGTCATTGTCTCTGAGCCAATGGGATACATGCTGCTCAGTGACGGACTCATGGAGAGATTCTTGCATGCCAGGAAATGGCTCAAGCCCAACGGTAGGAGTAGAGAAGCATCAGGGATGCAGGAGGGCGAAAGGTTGATATATAATATATAAATAAATAAAATACTCAAATCTCTAAAATGGATGTCTATTTTGGTTTTATATGACAAGTAGGAGATAACTCCACATTTGTGTTTAATACTCACCATGCTTTGGGACTTTGCTATCTTGACTTGGCACTTGGCTTACGAGTTACCGGTCTTGACTTGGAACAAGTTTTGTTTAACCTGGGTTGGGACTTAACTTTTACAATCTTAACTTTGTACTGGTTTGTATTGACTTGGCAACCCGTTCTGACTCCCAAGTTGTCACATATGGATGCATGGTCAAGACCCAGTGGCGTCATGCACTGGGGAGCCCCTTAGGGTCATAGTTTCGCCGGGGAAAAGCCCTGTAGTGTCAATTATGAACTCTAAAAGGAAGGTGTTGGATATTTAACAGAAAAGTCAGAGTGAGGAGGTGGCTGGATTGGATGGTGACCGGACTCAACCACGATACCGGTGTTCATTCCCTGTGTGAAACAAAAAGTCAACATTGAATCTATTTTTATTAGGTTATGCAAGTAGAGTACAGTAAAACTTCAATTAATAGCTGAGTCCCAAATAGCCGCCGACCTCCTTTGCTGGCCTGGCGCGGGAACACGTTTGACAAATAAACGCAGGTCTCCATTAAACGCCTGGTCCTGTTTTTTTATAGAAGTTCTTTGGATGTTTAAAACCTCTTAAACCCCACTGGGTCACCTGCTTTAGCTGCTTCAAAGCTTTTAAGAGCGTTAATACAAATATTAATGTTTAAACAATATGTCAGTATGGACATGCTGCACATCGTTAGATAGTCCACAATTCTATTGTTCAGTTCAAAATTAATCCAAGCTGTGAATCCTGTCATGTGAGGTCCATCGCTCTCCGTCTGCTAACTTCTGCCACACTTTTCTCATCCTGCACCCTGTTGCTGTTTTCCTTAGGTTGCTGCCTTCAAAATAAGAGTGCAAAAGCCTGTCTGTCGGAGCTAGATCAAACGAATGACGTGTATTTGATATAGTATTTTTTATACAAGTAATATTCATACTGTTTGAAATAAACTGTTTTCATAGTAGTTTCAGTTTGTGCAAAAGGAATTAAAGGCCTGTCCCATATGGACGCCTGCCCCAAATATAGGCGGGTCAATTCAGTGATTTTAGCAAATTGTCAGGGTTTATTTCAACCTCATGTTCAATGTTTCTGTCTCTCCGTTTGGCTCTCTGTCTTCCATGTCTCTATATCATTCTCTCACCCTCTCTCCAGGTCTGATGTTTCCCTCCTATGGTGATATTCATGGCTCCCTTCAGTGACGAGCAGCTCTACTTTGAACACTACGCACGAGCTAGTTTCTGGTCTCTCTCTCACACACACACACACACACACGCATAAACATAAATCCATGCATGAGGACGCAAACACACTGGACCCCTTTTTCCCTTAGTCTCTGTCTGTCTCACACAGACACATGTTCCCAGTGTTCGACCTCAGTCAGGCATGTTTCCTGTTGGGTGTAAAACGCTTGGGTTCAGTCCAGTCCTGACTCATGCAGGCCAACTAAGGGTTTGACTGATATGATCTTTTGTAGGCTGATAATTTAGGGTTGAGGCTGAAGTTTTGTTTTTCCAGAATTTATTCTTTGATACAGGATTTGGCCGTTGACGGGACATTATAACGTTGTGACCCAGGGAATAATTGGTCAAACATATTTAAGGGATGAAAAATATATAAGGGAAGAAACTGGCTAAAAAAAAAATCACTCCTTGTTTATTAGATTGACAACCACATTTTTGAATTTACGTAGAATTAGGCTAATTTATAGTGAAATTCAGCGATGATCTGATAAAAAAAGCAAACAAATAGCCTCAAAACACGGGGCTATGTTTCAGGAAAATTCAAGAATCCAACAGTAAAATATTCTATGACTAGACTTTTCATCTTCTTTGACATTAAAGCTAAAGGTTGTTATGCAGATGTTCTGTCAGGGCAGGTAGAGTCCATTAAAATGAACCCCCTTGCATCATTTACACAAACTTTCCTATTGAGACATCCTGTTCCACAGTACCTGCAGGTACCCGCATGCGGTCCCCACAAGTTTCTCTAAAGCTATAGAGCAAAAACAGCCTGTGTTAAAACTGCAGTTGAAACAAGTTAGCATAAGATTGCCCTGATCGATCCAAACTCCATTCAGAAAACAGGTATTTCAAAGTTGTTTGCTTGTCATCCCTCTGACAGACTTGACAAAGCATGAATTTATACGTTTAACAGATCGGCATCATGATGTAGTTATTTCGGCGCTAGTATGATCCGTTTATTGCAATGAAATCTAGGGCTGGACAATAAAATAATAACAACAATTTTCGTGATACAAGTTTTTCAATAACAATATAACAAATGTTCAATAAATTTTAGATTTATTCACTTGAATTATACA